ATATATATATATATATATATATATATATATCATGCATTTCTACATTATTGTTTTAATATATTGTTATTCTAAAGCAATCAGTTATTTTTAAGTATGTGCAGTTTTCCATAACACGTGGTAAAGAAAGTCATTAAATTGATGTTATTTTAGCTGCCTTTGTTCGTTATCATTATATTGATGTCACACCTTTCTACTCATGGCGGAATGGATGTAATGCTGCAGAGCATCACATAGATACAAGTGATGCATGTCTGGTTAACAAATGCCACACAGGCTTCCCTGGGATATGAGGGATGTAGTGTAGTCGGTGCTGAGGTACAGTAGGTGTTAAAATATGAGATGATATAATCCTTATAGAGTGTTTGGTTATCTACAGTGTTGATTGTCTGGGAGAAGGCAGGTATGCTTAGGCTCTGTATTGATTTTAGACAAGTGAACATGGTAAATCACTTTGGTGTCTTTTCACTATCTAGAACAGATGAATGTCTGGATGCATTGGAAGGGGCCTAATTGTTCAATATGTTAGACCTGGCAAATGAATACTGGCAAATCGAGTTGGATGATAAGAGAAGACCTAAAACTGTTTTCAACATAAGAGCTGACCTTTACGAGTTTCATGTCATTTAGCATGTATAATTCACCTGTCACTTTCGAGAGACTAACAGAACTTACACTGAAGGGGTTGTAATAGAAGAAGTGTCAGATTTATGTCAACAGCTTCTTAGAGTTTGGTTACATGCTTGAGTCTGTGGTTGAATGCCTGAAAGAGGCATTTCAAAGGATAAAAAAAGGCAGACTTAAAACCGAAACCAGGAAAATGTGTGTTCATGTGCACATAGGTGGAATTGGTTGATTATATTGTAACCAAACAAAAAGTCCACAGTTTTCTAGGTTTCACATCGTACTACCAAGTGTTTATGACCAACTTCTTCAAGATCACCTCACCATTACTGGCTTTCACTAAACATGAGACGCACTTCAGAGGAGTGAAGAATGCAAGCAAGTATTCCAGCCCCTGAAGTGTGTTCTAGTAGAAGCCCTGGGGTTGAAGTTCCATACAATATTGTGTGTTTCTGTTAGATATATACGTCAGAGATAGTTAAATTGGAACAGTGTCATTGAGTTGCAAGATTGAATAGAATTTGCAATTGTATTTGCTAGTCATATTTCCATGGCTCATGAAGGCAGATACTATATAACAAAGAAATGACTGCTTGCAGTTGTGATCTTTGTAAAACACTTTTGACACTGCTTGTATGTATAACGTTCTCTGTATAAGAATATTATGCATTGTTGAAATGGTTGATGAGTTTTAAAGACCCTGAAAGGATGTAAGCATACTGATTTTGTCATACATTATTGCCCAGCTCAGCAACACAAATGTTTAGATGAATTGTCTCAAAATACACCGAGATCCTGTACAATCATTAAATATTATGATCCTTTGTATCAAATGGGAATTGAAACCATTTCTAACATAGTGACGATGAGCCATGCAGTAGTAGATTCCATTAATGGATAGATGCTATGGTTAAGAATTCAGAAGTTCCATGAAGAACAACTGAAAGACCTAGAACTAGCATGGAAATTCCTTGTATGAGCAATTACGAGTGCAGGAAGGTGTGCTGTATTGTTATTATCAACTGTCAAGCCATGGTCCTCAGTGGTCAATTGTACATTATATTGTGTCCAGTCACTTTATTTCATTCTCACAAATTCACTTGCTTCAAAATTCAATTCTACAGAGTGATTATTAAGAACGTTTTCCAATTCAATGCATCGTATCTCACAAACAAGAAGATAAAATTGCACTGAAGTGTTAAAGGTATCATCCAGATGCAAATGCCATAGTTGTCATAAGTGGTCACAAGGAGCGCCACTTTCGTTTCTTTTGCATATTTCCCATTGGTATACGTGAGCCTGTTGATCACATTGAAGTTCATTCAGTCAACCAGAAACTGATAAGTGTGAGCAGAGGTGAACCAGTGAAAAATTATTACACCAAACGATACAATGCCAAGACAGCTCACAGAGAATCCCATACAGTGCATAACATCAACAGAGATCCTACTGTTGCACTTGAGGTGAGCCACATACATGCAAACCATTAACACTTACTGAAACTATTTCTGAGGTCAGCCATGCCATAGGACAAGACACCTTATGTTGCCTGATGCCTATATTTGCCAATTTCATCTATTTTTAAAGCCCTTAAGTTAACTTTGCAAATGTTTCATTACAAGATGCATCATGTTCAAGTACTAAAGGAGATGGATTTAACCTAACATGTTGATTTTGTATTGTGATTCTTTACGAGGCTGGAAGTCAATGACTAATGGCAAACCAATATCTTATGGACTGATGAAACACACTACACCCTTTCTGAAAGTGTCAATACATGTAACTAATTCTAAACACCAGAGGAGCACATCTTGAACAGTTACTTTGTTTGATCATAAATTAATCCATATTGGTGCCCTTGGTGGCAACATGTGGCATTTACATCCACAAAATACCCTTAACACCCATGTGCAATTTCATTTTCCTTTGCCATACCGTTTGTGAGATATGACGTGCTGAGCTGTAAAACTTTTTATAATCCCTCATGTTTCATAATAAATATATTGTTGAACCTCCTGTTATTAAACATAATTATCCCCTTATTCTAACGTTAAATCAATGTTACCTGAATATACCACACTAATATATTACAGCAACTAATCACCGTTTTTGTGTTGGTCTTCACAAAAAAACACAAAATTCGTAATACTTTTAGCTCCTGTTCTGTGGGTTACAGCAGCCTCAGGCAATGTGCTACATGTCTCAATAGGATGAGAAATAATAGAGTTTCCAGAAGATCCAGATAATACAACTATTGATATATTTGAGGACAAATGAAAAGAAACCATGTCATCAACATAATCCCCATCACAGTCAGAAATAGCTATTGGGTTGGAGAATTTTTCAGACTGTAGCTCCCAAAAGATGTGTCCTGTAATAATCAAGTTACACCATTAATCGTTGGTCAAGTACAATGTTCTCCGGCAGGTATTAAATGACTTAAGTAAGAGTATAAAAGCTATATAAGGCTTATCTAAACGTCTTGGATAATACTGTATTTTAAAAATAAAATATTTAAACAAGAGACACCAGAATTTAAAAAAAACAAGTAAGTATTTAATTTTTTTAGCTATTTAGATATCTAGACACACGATAACTGAAAAATACTGTTACCTATTGATCTTTAAAAAGGCTTAGAATTAAAGGATAACATCGTGTAGACCCTGCAAAAAGGATTAACTAAACTATTGTTCTATTCTATTACATTGGTAATTATTTACAGAATAAAATGTTAAAGTATTACTAACACTGAAAGAAATGCACACTGTATGAATATTACTTTTGATACGCTTTAAGTTATTTCAATAAATACAAATATAAAAGTGAAAGAACTCTATTAAGATATTTAAAAGGTTTAAAACTTTAGATACATCTTTTAAAAATAATTTATCAAGTTAACAAATGGATAACTAACTATTATAAGTAGAATTAATCATAAAGTGCTTTATTTTAAAACATGTGAAAAAGAATTCAGTTTTAAGTATTTGTTTCAGATTTTGTTTAAAACGAATGATAAATACACATTAAAACTTAATAACTTAGAACAAAACTAAAAAACAACTGAAGGAACATCAATGTATACTTTTTATATCCATGTGCATAAAAAATACATTCAAGCTGAGGTATCAAGTTTATTATTATTTAAGATATTTGATATGAAAGTTTCAAAGTACAACTTACCATCAGTACCGTTAACTACCATCATTAATTCATTTCCAAGAATAACGCAATCTAAGACACCATCATGATTGGCATCCACTTGGTTGCATTTGATCAAGTTTGGTTGAGAAGGAAGTTTAACATGCCATATCACTTCACCTATAGATGCGTGGATAGCCATTAAAGCAGAATTAGTAGCGTTCAAATGACTAATGGTGCCAAACACAACTACCTGTTGAGTACTTACTAATCCTGGCACACTTTCCAAGTTGGTGGATAAAACTGAAAAAGAAAGTAGTTTTTCTTTCTTATGGATCTCTCTCTCTCATGTAATAAAATCCAGTGAATATTAAACAAGTATTCAAACTATGCTAAAAAACTATAGGTTTGATTCAGAGATGAAAAAAGAAGATACACAGAGATGAAGTTTGAACAGATTAGATATAAAAAATGAGAAACAAACATATATACTAGAAGCAGTTTAATGTAGTGTTCTTTAAACATGTTAAAATCTCAAGATATAGTAGAAATTATGGTTTAAACATGAAAGCTGGTGAAGCATTAGAAACCAATAGGTCTAAAATTTGAGATGAATGTGGGAAAATATCCTTAAAGAGACTTTTATCATAGATGTTAGGCTTGTACAGTAGTAATATCTTCTGTAAAGTTAGAAAATTTGTATGTGTAAATAATTAGGTCTTCAAAATAAGTTATGGCAAAAAACAAAACACACATACTTTCAACAATCTTTA